GAGGCTAGTGGGGGGCCTGGTGCCAGCAGCAGCGAGCAACATGGCCCCAGCCCACCCTGCTCCTCCCCACCTCTTCCCGCCCCTTTCCCTAAGCCCCCACCCCGCTTCTTTCTGGCTTCCACTTCCCTCCCCCGAGAGACACCAGGAGCTGGTGGGGCAGGGTGGAGCAGGGCAGCCTGGGTTGCTCACTGCTGCCGGTACCAGGCCCCCCGCTAACCCTCCAGGTCACCCTGGACCCCACGTCCCCCTGAAGTGTGGGGCCCCCCAAAGCACGGGGCCTGGGGCAGGACGTCTCTGCTTGGACCCGTTCTGGGCACCACCAAAAATTATACAAACCTGGCACCCATGACCTCCCCGTGTGCACTGCGGGTCCCTGCCAGCCGTTAGCGGGGGTGTGTGCGCGTGCCTGAAGGGGGTGGGGCAGGCCTGAGAACGGAAGCAGGTATTCACGTTATTGCCCTACAAAGCTCTTGCTGTGGCAGGCTCAGGGCTTCCCTAAGCAGAGCGGGTACAAGGACACTGGGCCACTTCCCTGTGTAACGCGGAACACAACCCGTGAGCCTGAGCCGGCCCGGGGCGGCCTGGAGGAGGCAGGGTAGCTCTCAGCTACCTGTGCAGTTTACAGCTGTCACCTGAGCCTTGATTAACGCTTTTATGAGCGGTAATTGTGTAGCCCCGTTGGCTGGGATGAAGGCCACTCTGCAATCAACTGAGCTTCCCACACACCTGGAGAACTATTAACCCCTTCCCAGCCTGTCGGCACTGTAAATGCAGCAGGGAGAGCGAGAGCTGGGTGAAATGGGGATTCATGTGGGATGTGGTCTGAGCACCAGGCTGGCAGCCAGTGACTCACTGTGCCTCAGTTTCCTCCATTCTCTGGGGTTAATGATCCCGCCCGCTGACTGCACACAGAAGAGTATGTGGGAGGGGGGAATTGATCAGTTAGTGGTTGTAAAGCACATCATCTAATGCGGCTGCTCCTTCTAACTTGGCAGGCGGCTTGAGGACTGGAGTAGCAATGAAGGATGAGAACAGGGCCGTCACACAGAGCGAACTGGACTGCTTGGGAAACTGAGCCCAGTCAAACAAAATGTGTTTTAATACGACGAGGACATACAACTAGGAGCCAGAAAAGCTGGATACACCCGCAGGCTGGGGCCGGCCCTGGAAAGCAGGGACTCTGGAAAGGAGTTAGGGGTCAGAGTGGACAAGCACCTTACCCTGAGCGCTCAGTGCCATGCTTGTGGTGCGACCCATGGCTGGATAAATGGGGCAGTGGTGAGCCAGAGCAGGGAGGTGATTTTACCTCTGCGCCCAGCCTAGGTGAGACCACTCCTGGACACTGCATCCAGTTCTGGGTCCACATTTTAAAGAGGACAGTGAAAAATGGGTGGGTGTGGGTAAGAGCCACAGAACTGACCCAAGGGCTGGAGAGAAAGCCCAACAGCGAGCGATGTAAAGAGCTCAGGCTGATTAGCTTGTCAAAAAGCTGATCAAGAGGTGAGCTGATTACAGTGTCTAAGCACCTCACCAGGAGAAAACACCAGGCCTAAAGGGCTCTTTAAAACAAGAACCAACAGCTGGAGCTGGAGTCAGACACAGTCAAATTAGAAATTAGGCACAAACTTTTCACAGTCATGAACCTCTGGAGCAAACTCCTGAGGGACGTGGTGGATTCCCCGTCTCTAGAGCCATGCTGGCTGCCCTTCTGGAAGCTGCTTCAGCCAAACGCTGGTGATGAGTCTCGCTGCAGGGTACCTGGCCTGGGTGATGCAGGTGTGGAGAGTAGATGAGCGAATGGTCCCAGCTGGAGGCTGGGTGGAGCAGGTTAGAGACACTGAGCTGCAGCATCCATTGCTAAAGGCACCAGACCTGGGCACCCCTCACCACTGCAAAGCTGCAAGGGAGCAACTCTCCTGGCAGCACGTGGCGCAGCCCCGCAGTCACTGAATGGTGAATGCACGACAGGTTTGAAAAGTGGAACTACGCCCCCCCCCCCCCAACACACACACACTAGTGTGGCCAGGTGGCCAGTTTTGGACCACAAAGTCCAGTCAAAAAGGGAACCTGACCATGTCCGGTCAATACTACTGACCAGACACCCAAAGTCCGGGTGCTGTGGGCGAGGGGGGTGGCAGGGACACACACAGCAGGGCTCATCCTCCCCAGCAAGGGGTGGCAGGGACATGGACACACACACAGGCTCGTCCCTTTCAGCAGGGGATGGTAGGGACACGTATGAGTGTACACACACACACACACTCTTTACCGGGAAGCTGGAGTCCTGTATACAACAGTTCCCCGGCATTCTCCGGTCACTGTACCTTTCACTAACAACCTGACAGGATTTTGGCCTCAGCCCGTGGCTTCCCCTAGCCCTCTCCTCTCGGTGGGGTGCACCAACACTGGGGATGTTATAGGAACGGGGAACTGTGACCTGGCTGAGGCCAGCCATTGTTACCCCTGAGGAAATGTCTCCCTCAATTGCCAGTTCAAATCCAGCCCTGGTTGGTAACGCCTGGGACTGTATGAACGACCCTGTTTGCCCCAAGATGTCAGGGAGGAAATAGACTCATGCTCTTGAGCTAGGACGCCTGGATTCTGTTCCCAACTCTGCCACAGATTTGTCTAGGCAATTCCCTTGCCACCTCTGTCTTAGTTTACTGCGTGTTACCGCACCGCCCGGGCGCCTAGACCCAGTTGTATCAGGCGCTGTACAAACATCTCACAAGGACACAGCCCCTGCCCGAAGGGTTCACAATCTACATTTACAGATGGAGCGAATGATGCAGTTCCTGCCTGCTGTGTTCTGGGCAAGACCCGATCAGATCAGCAGCTCCGGGGAGTCCTGGGGAGGCTACACGGCCCAGGGCTCGGGGGCCTGGAACACAGGGTCTCAGGTGGATCCTGCTGTTCCTCCTCCCCCCCGCCCCCCCGTCCATTTTGGAGCCCCAGGGAGGGGCCCAGGCTCTAGACTCTGTCCAGGGCCCTCAGCAGCCCAGGGTCTGGGGGGGGGGTATTACAGCCCCCCATGAGGTACGGAGGCCTGGGGGAGATCAAGGCCTTGTCTGCACGTCGTGCTCGTGGAACATAAACACATTTGAGCACGGTGGTTAATTCGGTACAAACCCATGTGGAAGCTCAGACTTGACTTGGTTTAGCTTAAACTGCACCCCAATTGACTTTAACCAGCCTGCTTCAATCCCCCCAAGAGTCCAGAGAGCCTCCTTCCCCTCCCAGTTCTGGGCCTCAGAGGGCAGCAGGAACGGGCAGTGCGCCCCCGTGGACGAGGTGCCAGCAGGGAGCACCCATCTGTCCAGCTCAGCAAGCGGGGCTCAGACTCTTGTGGGGGCCACAGCCCCAGTGTCCAGCCTCATCCCTGTGCCGGCGTGGGGTCCTGGCCCAGTCCCGCCCTGGCTGCTGGGTGATGCAGACAGAGGTGGCCTAGGACAGGGTCTTTCAGAACAGACTATGGGTGACTGGGAGCAGCCCTGCAAGGAGCCAGCTGGGCGAGGGCACGTCCCCTTCCAGCTCACAGGAAGCAGAGCCTGGCCATGCAATTAGGGCTCCGGGCTGGGAGTTCAAGGCAGATGCTCGGCTGAGGTTTTTCTCCGCACTCCATTTACTCAGCCGTGTGCAGTTCCTCGTGCGATTTTAGGGCTGCTGGGAAACCAGCTGCTAGTTTATCCACTGAAAGAGGAGGGGGAGATGCTGCAAAATGAAGCTCAAAGCCCCTGGGGCAGCCTGGGGGCATGGATGGAAAGAGCAGGACACAGCCCCGCACGGGCAGGCTGGTGTGCACACCACAAATAGCACAGGCTTGAGCTAACTGACTGGCTCTAGACAGCCCCAATGCCCTGTGAGCTCAGTGCGGATGGGCGCTAAGCTGCTTCCAGCTGGTCACCCCAGTGGGGACCATGCCCTGCCCCCGGCCTCTATTTCCCCCGTTATGGGCTTGCATTGGGGTAGTGCCTGGAGCAGGCCCCACTGCGCCAGGTGCTGCACACACAATGAGGAGAGCTGCTGCCTGGGTCTAGCAGTCATGGAATCTTGCCCAACCGGCCTGCTGGGCTGAGAAAGCAGCAAGTACCATCTCCCCCTCCCCCATGCCCCCAGGGTACCATCTCCCACCTGCCCCCCATGCCCCCAGGAGGGGCAGTGCAGGGCCAGGCCCTGCCAGCCACAGCCCTGTCCCTCCCCAGAGGCACTCCAGCCACCTGCCTTTGGAGTGAGGCTGGGAGCAGCACGTCTGGTTCTTCCCCCCTACTGGCAGCCAAAGCCCCTGGGAGGGTGGGGGTCTGGAGCAGTGGGCCTGTCCCACCACTTAATGCTCCTCTGCCCTCCTGCACCCCGCACTTTGGCCAGCCCGGCATTAACCCAGGAGAGGGGACATGCTACCACAAGCATGCCCGGCCTCGTGAGATCCCGGCCCAGGGCTGGGGAATCTGTCACCCAGCGGCACAGAGACCAAGTCAGACAGCAGCTGCACAGCTGGGAGGGGCAGCCGCCACTGAAGGAGGCAGTCGTTTGGGAGAAGGCACATGAGCAGCGCCCTGGGAAGGGGGTGGGGGAGAGGAGGCCAGGGACAGGCTGGCGCTGTGGACCCAAGTGTTAAAGACAAAAACCACAAGCAGCCACCCCCAAATCCTGAGATTAAAGAGTTGTGATTTTTAGCCTGAGTAGCACTGTATGGGTTCCCCTTCTGGGGACAGAGCCTTAAGGGTTTCACACCTCTCTGCAGCCACAAGAGCTGGAAACTTGCTTCAAACAAAATCAAAGCCAAAATGCCCATTAGTCACCTGACTCCTGGAGCTGGGACTTTAAATCTCACAAGTGCTGGCTTTGCTGTGATGCTGAAGCCAGATCCCCTGTGCAGAGGCCAATCAGCAGAATGTCTAAGGGGTGAAAGAGGGGCAGGTCCCCGCCCCCAGTTGGAAATGCAGTTTGCAGGAGAGTTGCCAGTAGTGAGGCAGATCGGAATCCCCCGCACACAGCGCTGCTGTCCTTCAAAATGTTGTCTCTTTACTCAGGATGGTCCTCGCTTAAAAAAAGTGTTATTTCACAGACACAGATTGCACAACACGTGTTAAAAACGTACAGGTTTTCTATAGTGCCCCCTTCCCGCAGTGCATGGGGTGGATTCAATTCGTGCCGCCGCCCGGCAAGTCCTAGGGTTAGACACATGCAAAGACATGGGATTTGCCTCTGCTGCCAGCAGGGGGTGATGTTACACAGTGACAGGGGAAGGAGAGTCTGTGCAAAGTGGCAGGAGGGAGATGCAAAGGAACAGGCCGACGTGCTGCACGACCTCAGCACTGGCCCTGCCCCGGCTCCCTTCCTTCGGCGCGTCCCAGGCGGAAAGTGCAAGTGGCGCAGTCCCGGTTCCAAGTGCGAATGCCCAGCTCAGTTGACCGTGCTGCTTCGGCTCCTTCCCTCTGCGCTGCCAGCCTCGTCCAGCACCGCCCCAGCCAGCGGCAGCACCGAGACGCCATCTGCAGTAGAGAGAGAAGCAGCCGCAGGTTGGCCTTTGGGTTAACAGGTCCCCAGGCCCTGAGGTGCCCCCTCCAGGTGTAGGACATGGGCCAGAAAAGCACTAAGCAGCTGACTGACAAGACCCCAGTCTGCATCCCGTGGCCCTGCCCGCTAGTGTCCATCTTAACCCGGGGGGCCCCTGGGCTTCCACCAGGGAGCGGGGGTATGATTAACAGGAGGCCGTGTTTTCTCCTGCCCCAGACACCCTCCCTGCAGAGAAGCATGAAGCACTCTGGGCCTGTGGCGGTCTAAGCTGTTACAGGAACTGTACCCTCATTCCCTGCTCATCCTCAGAGCAGCTGGGTGCACAAATCCTTTGGGCAGCTTTGAAAGGTCTCAGCCCACATCTGCCAGCCCCGCTGGAGAGCACCTAGGCAAGGCCAGCTACACACCAACTGAACCATCCAGCACTGAACACAGCCACCTGACGCCCAGCCCTGTGCTCTGACCACTAGCCCCCGCTGCCCCCCACCAGGTCTTGGCCAAGAGGCACCAGCTTCCCAGGAGCGAGGGCACGTCTACGCTGAAAGCGCCATGCTGCTGCAGCGTGTTGACAAAGGGGCGGTAGCAGCTCTCCCATGGACAGCGCTGTCTACATGGGGGTCAGGTCGGTATAACTACCCCACTCGGGGCTGGGGGGTCTGTAGTGTAGACCAGACCTCAGAGAGCAGCAGGAGCAGAGGCTGCACAGCACCCCCAGTGTTCAGCGAAGGAGCTGCAGTGCCCCCCAAAATCACCTTACCGGTGCCCCGTAGTCATATTAGAGCCCCCAGCCTTCCAGGACATTGCAGATGCTTCCCCTCAGCAGAGCTGCCACCGAGTCAGTGGGGTGGGGGAGGTGCATGGGGTGGGGGGAGCATCTGCTAACAGGCCTGGCCCCCCAGCTCAGCTTAAGCCTCTTCATTTTACCCCCCAGTGGTTCGGTGTAAGTCACCATGTCAGAGGATCTTGCACACACAGTCCCACCCCAGGGTCAGCTGGGTCTCCTGGGGACAGGATGGGGGGTGAGCTCTAGGGCTGCTTGGAGAACGGCCAGTCACCCAGCACGATGCCTGCGAGAGAGAACCCCAGGGAAAGGGCAGGTGCAATAGCTAGAGATGGGGAGAGCGGGTTTTCTAGCTCATTTAAATGCTGGCATCTGGCTCCCCTACAGTGCCTCCTGGTGGAAGTGGCTGGAACTGGAGCAGCTGTGAGCTTCCCCACAGCCAGCTTTGCTACACCACCACCTGCTGGGACCAGGCTAGCGGAAAATGCCCCCCACAGCCGGCAGGATCTGAAGACAGACGCCCTCCCTCACAAACCAGCCCCTCCTGTGCAGAGATTTCACTGCAGCCCCTGCTAGCCCCTCTCCCGGATACGGGACTCACGGAATCGGACCCGGATCGGCCAGATCATAATGCAGCACAGACACACAGTGGCGACCACAGCGACGCCCCCGGTGACTATCACCATCACCCAGTGGTAGAACTCAACGCAGCCGGCGCAGCAGAGCTGGGTGCTGAAGGCAAAGGGACAAGTGAGGCTCCAGCTGCCCCAGCCCGGCCCCCCCCCCCCACGCACGCCCCGGAGAGGGGACAGAGCCGCTGAAGTCTGGGACGGCACAGAGCAGTCACTGCAGGTGGAAGTGCCCCAGTGGAGTAGGGAAGGGGCACGTGCGGGCTCTGGGAATGGCACAGTGCAGTGGCAAGGCACCGCCAGAGTGTACCGCATCCCCCCGCTGGTTGGCCTACGACGGCTGGCAGCCAGGGCAGCTACTCTTCAGCTCAAGCAGCAGGGGACTGTGCTGGGAGTTGGAAGGTCTCGGGTTCTCCCATGGGGTGAGGGGAAGGGCTGGTAGATACTCCGGACTGGGTGACTGGCTTGTTGCCTAGAGGGGAACAGAGGTGCCTGCCGCAGGGGTCTTCTCCAGCAGCCCCAGGCCAGCCATGACACTTACGGGCACGGATGCAAGTTCTGGATGGCCATCACCACCACCCCGTTGGCCACTTTGTCCGTGAAGCTCATGGCCCCGTAGACGAAGGCTCCGCTGTGCTGCAGGGAAAGCAACAGCATCAGCCTCATTCCACACCCACGTCTGCCTCCTCTGGCATCTCCCGCAGCTGCCCCGGCTCGGGCCCCCTGCAGACGTACACTGGGACCCCCTAGTCCTCTCTCACCCAGCTCAGGGCGGGCACAGCTCGGCTCAGCCATGTACAGAATCAGGGAGCCGCGTGTCCTCTTGTGGGCAAACTCGTTCCTGCAGCAGAAGTTAATCCCCGTCTGGTACCAGCGCCAGCATCCCGTTCTGAAGAGACCCACAGGCGCTCTAAAGCCACTTCCAACACCCAGGAAGGGCGACTGCCCCACAAGCCCAGCGAGCGCCCATGCCGGACCACGCTGTGCAGAAGGAAGGCAGCCCTGTTCAGTGACCCGCCAGGGCGCCTTTCCAAGCCTGGATTAGCCGTTCCCTGCAGGGCATGGCAAAGGGGTGGTGGTACCCAGCGCTCTACCCCCAGGGGCACTAGCTGGGCAGCAGCTGTGCCCGGCCCATCACTTGCCCCCATAGGAACCTACCGTGTTGCTCCCAATGAGGTCAGCCGTCATGGAGAGGGATGTGACCAAGATGGTGGCCGAGCCAGCCCCGAGCAGCACAGCCGCTCCATAAATCTCTGCTCCCAGCTGGATGTCCAGGGCCACCCAGGAGGCGAAGGCCAGGATAATGAGTAACCCCATGAAGTAGGTCAGCTGCTCGGAGGCGAAGGGCAGGGAGAGGGGGGGTGGGGGGAAAAACACTCATTAAACCCAGGACTCCACATAGGATCATGAGTAGGAAGGATGTAGAGACACTGGAAAGGATCCAGAGGCGAGCGACAAGGATGATCAAAGGGGTGGAAGGCAGCCGTAGAAGCAAAGGCTGAAGGGAGGGGGTATGTTAGTTTGGAAAAGAGGAAATTGAGGGGGAACATGGTAGCAGTCTTCAAATACTTTAAAGGCTGCCATAAGAAAGATGGAGAAATGTTCTCTCTTGCCACAGATGGCAGGACAAGAGGCAGTGGGTTCAAACAACGGCAGATTTAGAGTCTATCTCAGTAAGAACAGTAGGACAGTGGACCAGACCTGCCTCAGGACGTTGTGGAAGCTCCTTCACTGGAGATTTTCGAGAGGAGGCTGGATAACCACCTGGCTTGGACGGTGTAGACACAGCAAATCCTGCCTCTTGGCAGGGGTTACACCAGTTCAGGCCGCTACCAGCCTTTCCTGTGGACTCTGTCTCCTGAATCTCAGCTGGAAACGTCCAAGGTGGGGCCTGAGTCTATCAAATGAGGGACAAGCCCCCCACAGCCTCCCTGCCCTTCGCGCTCTCTGCCCATTGATTCGCTACACCAGAAGAAACAAAGGAAGCAGCCAGAGAACAGAAGATAGGCTCCTGCCCCAGGGAGTCTGGCCAGGAAGGCTGTTGAGAGCACGTGGTGAGAAAGACTTTGCCTGGCGTTTAGCCTAGTTTGGTAAGTGTGGCACCAGCTGCACTTTGGCTTTGTTTTCCTTGTAACCATTTCTGACTTTTCTGCCCCATGGCTTGTACTCACTGAAAATCTCGCTGTAGTTAATAAACTGGGTGTGTTGATTTGTCCAATCGAGCGTGTCTGAACTGACGTGGCTGGGAAACTCCATGGGGGGGGAAGTTATGGGATATTGTTTCTGTTCATAAAATGGCAGGCTTTAGATAAGCTTGTATTGTCCAGGAGAAGGCTGGGCGGCACCAGACACGCATTGCTGGTGGGAAAGCTAGTGCTGGGAGCATGTTATGATCACCCTGTGATATAACCCAGGCTGGGGAGAGCCAGGGCATGGCCAGCTGCAGCACACAGACATGGCTGGGAGGGACTTGCATGCTGGAGTCTACAGCAGCAAAGCCATGTAAACGGTCCCCCAGCGTGGAGGGCAGGGGTGTCACAGTGACTCCGTCAGGATTGTACCCTGGGCACATCGCACCATGCAGGGTGGGGGTGTTCACCTCCTAGGGTCACTCCTGTCAATGGGCATCTCCCCGCAGGCCCAGATGTGTGCGGTTACAGTGGGACACTGCCCCCCCATCCCCCCAACCTACTCACATTTCGGCCGATCCACCTGTTGATGGGCTTCATGAGGAAGGAGGAGAGGAAGCCGCTGATGTACATCACCAGGGGGATGGTGGCGATGAATTTCTGGGGAGGAGAGAGACAGAGCAGAGTGCTTGGCTCACAGATGTCCCAAGGGTCTGTGTCCCCCCACCACTGCTGGGATCCCCTGCTCCATTTTGCCTTCCACCAGCCACACAGGGTGTTCCCCACTCATAACCCACTCCCCTCCAGCGACACAGGGACCCCCCCCATGGGCGTCACAGGATTGTCCTGGTCGAGTTGGTGCCCGGTGTGAAGTGACCCCCAGTGTGGCACGCCCAGAGCTGGGCAGGACCTGCCCACTGGCACCCCCTGCTGCTCACTCACCTTGGGCAGCATCAGCGAGTTGGTCAGGTACATGGCGATGTAGGTCTGGGACAGGTTGACAATCAGCCGCGTGGCCATGTACAGCATCGCCACCTAGCGGGAGACACGCCAGCCAGTTACGCCAGCCACCCCCGTGCCCTCCAGCCCAGCTCAGAGTGCTCTGTGCTGGAAGGAACGGAGACCTCGAGGCTCATGGCCCTGGTCCTCCACCCGCCTGGGGAAGAGATGGGACATCGCAGCCACAGGACGCAGAGCCAAAGTGCCCAGGGGGCTAGCACAGGCCAGTCCCGCAGGCCCGTGTAGAAAGCTTTGGGGCAGAAGACAGAGGTTCCTGTACCAAAGGGGAGGGGTCTCTCGTACCCCCCCCAAGTGTCCCTCCCCCAATAATGAGCCCCTTTGAATCTAGAGTCATCACCTGCCTCACTGGGGTGCCCAGAGGCCTGGCTGGCTGGGCATAGGGCCAGCTGGGCGCAGTGACATGTGGGTAGGTCTGAGCGTCCCAAGTGGGACGTCTCTCTGCCCTCGGGTCACCTGTGCTGCTCATGGAACCCCCCAGCACCCCTCCCCTCGGCACCCACTCGGCACCGCTCCTCCTGCCTTGGCCTGAGGGGGTGCTGTTGAGCCACCCAAAGCTTTGATTCTCCCCAGCCCCAGCGGGCGACAGTCCAGGCCCAGCAATACGCCCAGGGTGCCACACAGCTGTGCAAAGCCCCAGAGAGTCGCAGTGGCAGCCAGCTGCTGGCCACACTCCCGCGCTCCCCGGCAGGTCCTGGGGGGGCGGGCAGCCCGTCACACCCGGGACAGGACGCTCCTGACCCAGCACCAGGTGCTGAGCTGCGGGGACAACGCAGGGGCCAGGGCTCAGTAGCCATTTGGGGGCTCCTGTGTCCCGGGGGGTGGGGTGGGGTGTGGACTGGCCTGGAGACTGGCCTCCCCCCCAGCAGGGCACTGCCAAGGCAGGGGTCAGAGAGGGTGTACGGCTGGGGGCATCAGGCGCCTGTCCGCGCCGTACCTGTCCTGTGGATACCGAGATCCAGCTGCCAGGCCTGCCACCCAGCAATGCCCACATCTTGGGAGGCCCCCCACTCCCCACACACCTGTCCCCCTCATGGGACTGCCTTGCCCCAGCTCCCCTCACCGGGCACACCCTGTACCTGGTAGAAGGCAGGCTCCCGCAGCCAGTGTTTCCACAGCAGCAGTGGGCGTGGGGGGCTTTTGTGCCCCTTCTTCAGCAGCGGCGTGTGCTCCTCGGGCTCGAGCAGCCTGGCCTGAGGGTTGCGCCGCTCTTTGGTGCCCAGGTGGAACAGGAGCGAGAACACAGCGCCCACTGCCACTACGATCAGGGACAGGTTCTGATGGGACAGGAAGGAGACTCAGTAAATCCTCAGGAAGCCCGGGAGACAGGGCGCCAGCCAGCCGTGCATGGGTTAATCCTCTCCAGCCCCTTCCGAGCAGATCGGGGGCACTTGGAGAGGAGAAGGCCAGTCTGATCCCAGTCTCTGCCGAGAGACCCACAACTGCCCCATAAACCCTGCGCTGCCTCACGCCATCTCCCAGCCTTCCCACCCCACATTTAACATCCAGAACATGTGGGGTACATGCAATTCACAAGGCTCCCCACCTCTCCCCGTCCATGCAGTGGAGAAGCAGGAAACGTCAATCTCAACCAACAATGCAGGAGCCCAGGCCCCCCATCCCAGCTCTGCTGCTTGGGGCCCGGCTCCACCGCACTCACCCGGAAGACACTGATGTCAGACTCGCCCAGGTGCTCCATTGGCCCCGAGAGTCCGAGCTGGAAGTGCAGGAGCAGCCAGGCCAAGCCATACACAGTGATGTTGGCCGCGACGGTGAAGGCGTACCTGGGGGAGAGGACGCAGCGTGTCACGGGGCGCTCCCAGCCGGGGCGCCCGGGTGCACGAGAGGGTTGCGAGAGGGAGGGGAAAACACGGCATGTTGGTGCAGGACAAGATCTGGCACCTGAGCCGGTCACATCCCCCCTACATTGCACAGCCAGAGTCAGGCACATTCACAGCACAAACCCGCCCTGGTGTGTGTGTGTGTGTGGGGGGGGGTGAAGAAAGAGAACTGGTGAGTGTGAACACACCCATGGGGGTGAATTTGCACAGACAAGCAATGCTGCCCCCTGCTGGAGGGAGCCAGACTGGCCGGGGCAGTTGGGATTATGCTGCAGGGAGAACAGAGTCCCCGGACAGCTGGAGACTCTTCTTCAGACCAGGTGGAGGCGCTCCCCGGACGTAGACCACAGTGGTGACACTGGGCAGGGCCTGCCGGGAGCTAGACCCCCCCACAGGGTCCGTGTCCAGCAGCCGCGGTCCCAACCCCCCTTTAGAGCCCAGTCTCTCCTCTTCCCCACAGGACCTCCCAGCCCCGCCCCGGTGCCTGTGGTTTAACAGGTGACCCTGGGGGCTGTACGGGGCAGACGGTTTGACAGACGGCAGCTTCTCACAGAGGCAGCGAGACCTCCCGCAGCCCTAGCATGGCTCCACATCCTTCCTGTGGTGAGTTATCTGCCGAGTGCAGACACAGTGCGGAGGGGACTTCTGCCCGCTGACGACAGATAACTGGGCCGTTTGCCACTCGCCTGCTGATAAGAGACGCTTCCTCACCTGCTGACTCAGCACCGCGCAGGCTGGAGGGGGCCCGTAATCCTCCACCTGCCAAGCCATGGGGCCGTTTCCTCCACTCCAGGGCTTGCTGGGGGGCAGCCCTGGGCCCTGTTTACCCGCAGAGCTGGTCGCCAGTGGGTGACATGAGCGACTGACTCTTCTTGCTGAGTACAGCCAGGGGCAGCCTCCCACCCCTCCAGCTAGAATCACAGCCAGGACCCCAGACCCAACCATCCCCACGTTCCTGGGCAGCTCCGATCCTTCACCAGCCCCTCTAGCCAGGCCGGGGGGTGACAGGTGCTTTGGTGTTTGAAACGGAGCCATCCGTCCCCCAGTCCTGCACATCCCCTCCTGCAGCTGCCAGCCCGGGGTGTGTGCGTGTGTTTACAACGTGCCCGGCGCTGTGGACGCCCTCTGGATACGGGTTTGTGCAGGCCCTCAGGGGCTTATCTACGCCAAGGGGCTTGCCGGGAGCGGGGGCCATGGAGACAGCTACAAGTGGCATGTAGCCTCCCCAGGCCCTGCCCCTCGCCTGGCAATGTCAGGAGGCTGCAGTGCAGGACAAGGCCTGTCCAGCTCTCCTGGAGGCAGGTAATGCCAGGTAGCAGCTGGGCCCTCATGTTCCTGAGCCAGATGAGGAGAGGGCACCACTGCCTGGACACCGAACCAGGGACAGAACTGGGGAGGGAGGGAAGAAGTCATCTGTCTGCAGCTCCCAAACCTGGGGTATCACTGGCCACCCCTCCTGCCATGGAGCGGCTGGTGCCCTGTCACACCCTGAGCCCCAGGAGCTGCTGTGGGGCGGGCAGGAAGGGGGCAGAGCCCGAGTGCTCCCAAGACACCGGTTCTCATGCCCACTGAGATCTGATGCACCCCGGCTTGGAGCCAGGCAGCTTTCAGGGTGCTGGGGGAGTTCAGAGCTCGGGCAGCTCCGAGCATGGGTCGCTCTCTACAGGCCTGACCCAAAGCCGGGGGGCTGAGGAGAAGAGCCACAGCGAGGTCGGGCTCACAGCTGTTGGGGGCAGGGAGGCCGGCAGGACATTCGCAAGGGGGAGCAATTTAAAGAATGATTGACAGGCTTGGGCTCAGGACCAGCCAGACCTGGGGACTGCTGGGCTTTAACAGACAAGCCCTGCAGGAGAAATTAACCCTCTCAGCCCCAGAGGGGACTGGGCACGAGCAGCAGCCATAGGGCTGAGAGGAAGCTGGGCCAGCCCCGTAGGGGAGTCCGAAGGGGGCAGGGAGCGGTGTGCATGAAACGGCTTTCAGCCCAGTGGGGTCCAGCAGCTTGGCGGGGCCCCCCTGCACCCATCTCCATGGGCGTGACCCTGCCCAGGTACTGGGAGCTGGGCAAGGCACGGAGTGATGGGCAGGAAGCCACACAGCCCGGCACCTCAGCATCCCATGGGCAGAATTAGCCAGCGTCTCCTCGGATGCAGCTGCACCTCCTCCCGCCGTGCTTGGTCCCCAGTGCTCCCAAGCGCCCTTCAGAGCCGGACACAGCCCTGGGTCTTACTCAGAAGATGAGTGCATGGGCGGCTCTCACAGTCCCAGTGAGCAGCATGATCCGGCCTCAGGAAGGGAGGGGTGCGCGTGCCAGGGGTGGGGTGTGTTCAGAGAGGTAGCAGCTGCCCTGCTCCCCATGTGGCCAGGCAGGTGCACAGTTCACACTGCAGCATGCAGATGAGTGACCCCCAGCCGGGCCATTCACACAGCACAGCTGCCTGCGGAGATCTTGGGTCCCAGCAGGCAGCTCTGCGAGGGAGGCTCCAGGACCCAAACCTCCACCCTGGAAGCATCGGGTCCCAGCCTTCGCTGCCCTGCTACCTCGGGGCAGGGGCATATGTGTGCACCATCTGCTCTGGCTGCTGCCAGGCAGGGGTGACGCTCAGTCACAGAGTTCAGACACGCTCCCCACTACGCTATTCGAGCGGTGCTGGTAACAGAGGGGGCAGTCGGAAAATCACCCACGCTAAGTGAGGATAACAGCCCACTACTGGCTCACAGCTGATGGTGCTGCTCCTTTAGCTGCAGAAGAAGCAGCCTGTGCTGTCGTCACCAAGCGCCCAGTTCGAGGCCTGCCAGCACCCGTGGCTGCCTACAGGGCGTGCCACCCTCTCACCTGAACGCTGTGAGCTCCACTTTCTCGTGGTCGGTGGTCACCAGCTCGGGGATGAGCGACAGGTGGGAGATCTGGGTGGCTGCCCAGCCAAACTGGAAGAGGACTACGAAGGGGATATAGTAGATGAGCGTGGCCCACTGGGGCGTGGCCTCCGTGCAGCCCAGACAGGGGTTGAATATGAAGGGGAAGGACAGCAGGACGCAGACAGTCCCTGGGGAGACAAGAGACAGGAGTTAGCGCTGGGCCCGGCTGGACGTGAGGCCAGGAGCAGGGGAGGGACACACACCAGTCCCGAGGTTCTTGGGCACCGCTTGGCAGCTCAGAGCCCAAGGGGCACAGCAGATGTGGCCGCCTCTCACAGCGGGATCTACGCCATGGGCAGCGCGTCTGTGCAAGGCACTGGCCTGTAAAGCCAACTCCTCTCGTCTTTCTGCTCCTACTCCGTGGGTACTCTGAGCTGGCAGCCCTCTGCCAGGGCAGTCAGCAAGTCCCTCTCCCCGGGGACTCCCAAGCTTACTCTGGTGGGGCTCCTGTCTCCAGCCAGGCTGCCTCGGGGGTGCCCGCCCGGCCTTCTGCTAGAGCCAAGCTCCTAGCCAGATTACTGACACTTAGCAGCCGGGAGCAGCAGTCAGCACTGCCGGCCAGATCTGCACCGGGATGCTGTCCGGCCCAGAGACACCAGCAAGGTTCATTGTCAGCCCATTGTTATGCCATTCGTCCCTGTGGGGGGTGTCTGTGTGTGTGAAAGACATGAAGGCAGAGCCATGCCCAGCCCCAGAGTCAGCCAGTCTGTGTAGGACCCAGGAGACGTGGGGCTGGGCCCTGAGCTAGACACTGGACCGTGTTCCTTAGGGCGCAGGCACGGTGAGCCACCGGTGCCAGAACAAGGGCCCCCTTTGCACAGATCTCGGCCGGAGACAGCTGCTGGCTCACTTGCCATGACGACTGAGGAGCCAGCCCCATGGCCGGAGAGAGCTGGACTCTGCCCTTGGCGAGCTGGGCAGCCCTAGAGCAGCGTCCTGCCCTCGCAACGCTGCCTGGGCCAGTGAGGGTTCAGGGGGATTCTCCAAACCTAGGGGAGTTGGCAGAGCCAGGGGCAGGGGAAAAGGGTCCAAGAGAGCCTGTCTACAAGCCAACGCAGCCCCGCCAGCCACCTGGCTCCAATCCAAGCAAGCGCCGGTACCCCAGCGCCATGGGTCACACCAGGGGGAACCGACGCGGCACCACTTGGGTCTAGTGAGGCGAGAACGGCGCTTAGCCCTGGCGGCTGCTCTCTGTGCACCTGAGCCCACGGATTGCTCAGGGCTTCGCCATTTCTAGCACCAGGCGACAGCTGAATGTTCTCCGCTGAACAGACCCACTGGCTGATTATTGCCCCTACCCCCACAGGGCGCTGGCTGCAGCCCCTCCACGAGCCCGTTCACAGGCACTGCACTAGAGGGGATTTTGGAGAACACCCCCCACCCCCTCAGGCAGGCTTGTGGCCTTTACTGGCCAGAGAAGCCCACAGAGTTTGGGGTCTGACCCCTCAGCATCTGGTGGTAGTTGAGGGCTGGTCTCGCCACCCAGCCCCCCATGCCCTGCCAACCCCCCACCTCTCTGCATGCCCCAGCCCATCCCCCCAGAGCAGGCTTTGCTACTGTCAAGAAGCCAGCACTGGGAGGGACAAAGGCACACACGCCGTCCCCAGGAGATGGCAAAAGGCGAGCAAGGGCTGGCCAGGAGAGACAGCCCAGCGTGGCTAACGGGCCACTTCCGTCAGCTGCAGGAGCAGGCGGACGCTTCCATCCCTTGGTTGGAGGAAAATGACCATGTCAAGAACAGGGAAGCCAGCAGGCAGCACAAGCCGTGCCCTTGCACATTCGCTGGGGCCCAAGATCAGCACATCAAAGGTGCCGGCGGCTCAGCAGGCCTAGGAACCTCGCAGCACATCTGCAAGCCGGCTCCCCCGCGTCCCAGCCCAGCGCCGGGCACCAGAGTCACTGTTCTGCCCAGCGGCTTTCTCCACACCGGGCAGTGGTTTCAGTTTCCTAAAGAGCTCAGCGGGGCCAGAAACCAATTCCAGGCAGAGTCAGAGCGAAACCAGAGACGCTCCCCGCAGCTCCCGTTCCCCACGCCAGCCTCTCAGTCAGCGAACGCATCAGAGCCGAAAGTGCCCCCAGCTTCAAGTCATCAGCATCGCGTCTGCTGGGCCACAGCCCTTCACGCGTGGCCTGCTGCCTAACACGCGTCCCGGAGCGCGCAGAGCCGCCCCTGCCCTGCCATGGAAACCAGCCCAGGTTCTCGCAGCCAGAGACGCCAAAAGGGCCCACGTTGTATGTTGGGGGTCCTGGTTGCTCACGGGCACCGCAGCTGGCATAAACTGGTCAGCAAACCGGCCAAGGAAACCCCAGCTCTCCCCGGCTCCTTCAGCTGTCAAATGGCCTCCTAACAAGATAGTGTTTTCTAACCTGTCTCCAGAGCTGTGCGGAGAAGGCGGAGATCTTCCCCTCTGGGGTGCGCCTGCGGAAGGGGTTCTCCCCGGGCGGTGGTAGCTGGAATTCTTCCGTCCACCCAGCGGTGACCACTTGGGGCTGAAGTCGTGACATCGCACAGGATGGGAAACGTTTCCCATCCCTGAGCGGTGTGGTTAAACCGACTTACCCTCACCGTGCAGACCAAGCCTCACTCCATCTGCCTGCCCTCCCGCAGCCTGCTCTCTCTGTGCAGGGGCTTATTGTACTGCCTAGAGGCCTTCCCCCCGATAAGGGCCCTGTCGCGCCAGGCGCTGCAGACCCTTGGCGCGAGTCCCTGCCCTGCAAGCCCAACAATCTCAGGCCTTGTCTAAACAGGAAAGTGGCCCCAGTTCAGGCTACCAGTGTGAAGCTGAACCCATTCAGGGCTTGTCCACATGAAAACTAATCCAGATTAAGGCAGGATAGGAATGGAAAGCAGATTAGCCATTCCTGATTAATGCCACGTGTAGACAAACCCTTAGACCTTGGTCTATACCTGAAACTTAGGTCAATCCAACTAAGACGCTCAGGGGTGTGAAAATTCCACCCGAGAGATGTAGTTAAACTGAACGAAGACCTGGTGTCGGCCTAGCTGCTGCCTCGAGGGGGCGGATTGACTACAGCATCGAACTCCCCTTCCGCCACTGTAGCGCGTCTACACTACAGAGGCCGAGCTGCAGCGCCCAGCTGTGCTGCTGAAACACCGTAGAGTTGGCACACGCCGCGTCAGCGTGGCCCCGGGTGAGTGCTCTTCAGCTCAAGGGGAGCTTGTTTCACTTTAACATAATCCTGTTCCCAATCAACTCAGAGATATTTTCTTTCAGCCTCTTACACCAGAGCCAGGGCATCCACACTGGGGCTGGGGGCTTAATTTCCCCTTAAATTAAACCAGCTCAACTCTCACATACATGAGCCCCAAGACAAAGGGAATGCTCCCCCCCCCCGCCTCTCCCCTACCCTCTGTAAAATGGGGAACTGAAGCTCAGCAAGGACAAAATGACTCAGGAAGTGGGGGGTAGAGCCTGGGAATCCACCCAAATCTCACGGGTCCCAGTTCAACGCTTCAACAACGAGCTCCTCTCTCCTCCCTAGCACCACCTGGTCCCCCATCACAACAGGGGCACAGCTTCCCTGCAGAACCGACTCATTAACTGGAAGTGGAACCCACTTGCGGGGGGGGGGGGGAGAGCAGGTGGCAGGAGTCGCTCGTATTTTCCAATATTACGGCCCCATATTTAGTGCTGGGCTAGACCTGTTCTTCCATCGCTCCTTGCAGGCCTGGTCGGCTTTGAACAAGTTACCTGTTGCCAACAACAGATTCAGCAGCAGCTTGAGCAACAATGCAGCGGGCGCTATCCACAACCTCCTAACATGGTTGGGACACATTTTTCCCTGCAACCATCACTGCCAATGGGCAGATTTCCTAGCCTAAGCCTCTGTCCCCAATACATTTACTCATCTGTGATCAGCTCCAAGCTACGTGCCTCAGTTGTCCGTCCCGGAGCACAAAGAGATCAGTCTTTGTGGAGTTGGTAGGAAGTTGGCCTCATGACAGGACCCACAAGCTTTGAGTGGATTTTGACATGCCTTTCACGACAGCCCACATCAGACGCACTGATCTTGGGACATGATCAGCTCTGCACTAGCTTGAAAATGTCCCCTTATTCCAGCCTGGGGATCAAAAGCCTGAACTCAAAGACCAAGACTGGGGCCATACTCTGCCCTCGAGTTTGGACATCAATGGGGGTTCTGTCTGAATGCAGGACGTGCCCCCAGAGCTGGGGTAGAGCTGCAATGGCAAGAAAGGATTCAGACCCGCTGTGTTTTTCATCTGGGCCCTCTGCAGCTCAAGCCAGAAGCCCCAGGAAGCTCTGGTCCCCAACGTGTCCCCATGACAGGTTCACATGAATAATGGCTTTGCACAAGATGAAAGAGGTTCCTGTCATCTTGAGATAAAAGAGCTCTCAGAAGATTTCATCAGACAGTCTGGGGCTGAGGGCTGTTTGCAACCCACAAGGGTTTCATTTAGAGATGGGCCCAAACCTAATGCTTAGGGGCAATTGAGATGACAGGCTTCAAGCCCCCAGTTCTGCTCCATGCTAGTAGCCAGATGCTACATATGGAGGGGCTCATGGATTAGCTGCAAGTGCTTAGCAGTGGTCAAATTCTCCGTTAACAATAGCCAGAGAGGTTTGGTTGCACCGTCACCTCCCCCTACCTCTTCCAGGGGCTGATCCAAAACCCACCGAGTCCATGGGAGTCCTCACACTGGGCTTTGGATCAGGCTGCAGAGCCTCAGGTATTCTGGGGGAGGCCAGTTTCCACACTGCCCGGTTCTAGAGCCAGATTATCAGCGGTTGGATCATTGGGGGTGTGACAGCAACACCAACGCAGATCACAGGCCCCTTGGGTGGGGCGCTGCACAAGCACAAAGAAAGACAGTCCTGGCCCCAAAGAGCTCGCACGCGAAACAGACCAGACTAACAATGTATGGGAGGGGAAACTGAGGCAGCTAGAAGGGAAAGGACTTGCCCAAGATCACCCAGCAGGTCAGTGGCATAGCCAGGGGCAAAATCTGCTCTTCCGAGTCTCAGTCTGGGGCACTAACCCTGGCCCACACTGCCCATTATGAATCCCAACTGCAGGGGGAAGACTGTGTCTCGGTTAGCTGGCAGCAGCCCTTATAGACTCATAGACATTAAGGTCAGCAGGGACCATTCTAATCATCTAGTCTGATCTCCTGCACAACGCAGGCCACAGAATCTCACCCACCCACTCCGCGATAAACCTCTCACCTATGTCTGAGCTATTGAAGTCCTCAAATCATGGTTTAAAGACTTCAAGGTGCAGAGAATCCTCCAGCAAGTAACCTGTGCCCCACACTATAGAGGAAGGCAAAAAAACCCCAGGGCCTCTTCCAATCTGCCCTGAAGGAAAATTCCTTCCCAACCCCAAATATGGCTTGGAAGGGCATGTCCTCTGACGCTCCTCTTGGGATGCTAGTCCCACATCCGAGTCTGGGGAGGTGAGCCTGACAGCCTCCCCGAGAGCTGCCAGTAAAGACAACAGCGCGTCCAGTCCAGAGCAGGGACAGGCTCCGTCTGCATGGGCATCATTTGTGCCCACCTGCTCTAGCTCTGGCCTTTCAGAACAAAGGAGCCACCGGCAGGGAACACTATGACCCACCAGTCCCAGATGCTCCTTGAGGGACACTTCTAGATGCCTGGAAGCTGGAGCTGTGACAGCATCCCAGGAGAGGTGCAAATGCTGTGGGGGGGGAAGGGGGGGCGGGACTCCCCTTCCAGCAGCCTAGGAAACAAGGGCCCCCCACTCAAAGGGACCAGCCCCTGGCTATGCACTGCCCTCAGGGCACTCAGATCAGCGGGAGACCTGTGCATGAATGGAGGGCAGGATGTGCCCTAGGCAGCCAGCCAGGGAACTGGCGTGCAATGGCTGGTCACCATTCAAGGCTCTAGGGCCAAAGGCAGAGAGTGGCTGCTCGCCAAGCAGGTTATGGAGAGAAAGTGGTCACTGTGGACTCCTGGGCTCAGCCTACACAGTGTCCCGTTTCCCAGCTCTCCTGCTAGCTGGTGCTGTGGTGTGAACAGGGGAAGGGTGGCCCACCAGTGAGTGCATCAGCCTTGGCCTCCAGTAATTTGGGTTTGATTCTTTTCTCCGCCACAGGCTCACTGGGTAACTGGGCAAGTCACTACGGGTGCGTTTATACTGCATTGTAAACCAGGGCGTGTGGGACCCAGGCTTGTGGACTTGCTGTTTCCAAGCCCGTGCGTAAGAGTCCACACTGCATTGTCAACCTGGGTTTACCATTGTAGGACCCGGGTCTCACGGCTGTGATAACACATGCACACTGCACAGATCTGCTGGCTCAGGTCTGCGGCTTGAGCTGCGTCCACACTACAAAATGACAGGGCTTGGACCTGATTCTCAGCATGACTCTGACCCCACCCCAGCAGGGTCCTAGGACCCAGATCCTGTGCGTTTGCTGACCCGAGTCAGAATGATTTGTGTTGATGGAAGTGGGGGCTTGGGCTCAAACCGGAGTCAGAGCCCAGCCTCAGCGTACAGTGTAGACGTATCTGCTTGGTGCCTCCTCTGTACAACGGGGTACCGGGGGAAAGATAGCGGTGCCTGGTTTCACAGTGGTGCTGTGGGTGTGAGGAGCTCAGATATGATGGCGATGAAAGTACAAGAGATGAGACAAGGAGAAAGCAGCTTCCACCTGACAGCCCAGCCTGGCAAAGGGCCACGTGTCCTCTACACCCACTGAGCAGGGGACCCAGATCACAATCCCTGGCCCTCACGGGATCGGGGCCAGCCAAGTGCCAGCCGAACGTACAGAACAGAGTAGGCAACTTACGAACTAGACGGTGCAACCATGGCGTCTTAATTCCTCCACATCACGTGGCTCTTTGTAACCTTCTTCTAACAGCACAGGAGGAGTCTGGCTCCTGGAATCTATTTCTGGCTTTGCCATGAGCTCTGGAGTGAATCTCTTCCCCCCTGTGTGTCTAAAAAGTTCACCCACTAAAACGGGGAGAGGCCTTCGCTTACCCTGGGTGGCTGCAAAGGTCCCATGAGATGCTCAGGCTGGAGTCTGACTAGCATCCCAAGAGCAGCGTCAGGGGACATGCCCTTCCAAGCCAAGTCTCTGGGGCCCGCCTGACTACATCTCCGTTCATAAGTATCTACCTGTCTGTACCCTGCCACCCTGCAGCGATGAAGCTGGGAATCGAGGAGGAAGATGTGTCCCAAGGGTTAACTCAGCGCTTCTCCCCAGCAGCTCCGGGGTTCTGCCTTCACAGCAGGAGAGGGGCTGGTCCATAACCATTACTGCCTTGTCATCAGAGGGGAGGGCCTGAGGTGTTCTCTCTCAGACGTACTAGGTGCCCATTTCTTCATCTTAACCACCCCAGGAGCCTGAATCACTGGAGTCTACCCTGTGCCCATTTGAGAAGGCTCCAGGGCAGTGCCTCCAGGAGTAGCAACAGCAGGGGTCAGTGGTAGACTATGCATTTAATCACATCCCCTCCAAGGCCTGCTCCACACTAGGAACTTGCATCAGTATGGCCAGGGCTCTCAGGAGTGTGAAAAATTCCCCGAGAACCACAGCTACACAGACTTGACCCCTGGTATAGACAGCACCGCCTCCAGAGGAGATGGATTACCTACGCCGATGGGAGAACCCACCCCCTCGGCTTAGGTGGTGTCTATACTGAAGAGCTGCAGCTGTGCGGCTGTACTGTTTGAAGTGTGGACATACCCCAAGAGGAGAAGACACCTGGGCCACATGTAGCAGAAGGTTCAACCTGGCCTACATGGCACAGTTTTGTCAACAAAACAGTGGAGGTGCACACACTGAAATTCTCCTCCCGCTGATGTAACTCCCCTTCTATGCAGGCATAATAAAACCAGCGCAACGAAAGGCGTAGGGCTTATGTCAGTGTAGTTAGGGCGAAGGCTGTCGGCGGTCATTCTTGTCAATGTCACCGGTCCATTGGAGCCATGAAATTGACAAGAAAGCTGGCTCCTGGATCTCTCAAGCTGGGTTACCGCCTGGTCTCCGCTCCAAACTGGGCTGCCACCCAGGCTCCCAGCTTGGATTGCCACCCTGGGCTACCCCCTCCCCGCTGGAAGCCCTGCTCCTCCCCTGGGTTCCCAGCTCCCCACTCCCTGCTGGGGACACAGCTGCCGACTGGACTCTGGGTGTGGATCTCCCTGCCACAGGTGAAAAGCCCTGGGCGGCTGCCCCCCACTCCCAGCTGGGAGCACAGAGGCGAGAAACCCTGGGTGGCAGCTGGCTTCCAGTGCCGAGCTGCGAGCCCTGGCTCTCAGTCCCCCACACTGCCCCTCTTCAGTCTGTGGAAGTGCTCCTGGCTAAGGAAGCGCACCACCGACAGGAGGGTAGCGTGGACATCAGCCACCGGCGGCTGCAAGTCAACCTAACGTGGATCGACTTATCTTCGTAGTGCAGATGTAGCCTCTGATAAGAGCAGACTGTCACCCTGGTTGTCACAGGGGATTGAACCCATAGCCTCAGAGTTAAATGCGAGCCTGAGGACTCAGTGCCCTAGGTGGAAGCTATGGTAGACTCATGCCAGGTTCAGAGCAGTACACGTCACACCAGGCATGGCCCGTCTGCATAGAGCCATTCGAACCAGGGTAGCCGCCCCAGCGGTATTTCCCAGCCCAGCACACCTGCGAAAGCTTATGCTCAAATGCATTGGTTAGTCTCTAAGGTGCCACAAGTCCTCCTTTTCTTTTTGCAAATACAGACTAACACGGCCGCTACCCTGACACCTATGGTGCACCATCATCGGCATGGCTCATAACTGTGCCAGCCCCAGGATACAGAGTCTGTGACAATTCAAACCAAGCTTGTACTGTTACTTATTCATACACAAACTCCAGCAGCTTTGATTAGCCCAGACATCATTAACCCAGGAACCCCAGTGGTCTCCCAGCAGGAGTTATTATCCCCCAGCCCCTCACGCAGACAGGCTCCCAACCCCTTTACGTGGCCACCTGTGCAAATGAGCCCTACTCCCAGGAGCAAAGCTCTGCAGGATCAGGCCCTCCATTGCCCCGAGCCATTTCAATGGCTAATCATGCTCTGTCCCAAGCTGACAGGGAGCTTTTCTGCGCTCTGCTTAACAGCTGCCACATTCCACCCCAGAAGTAGCTGCATGTCCCTGGTGGGAGAGCGATCCCTGCTGACAGGTTGTACCTGTCAGTTTCCAGGGTGCTTTGGAGTCCCCGTGCAATGATTTGGGGTCCTTAGCCAGGAGCGCTTCCACAGACTGAAGAGGGGCAGTGTGGGGGACTCAGAGCCAGGGCTTGCAGCTGCCACCCAGGGTTTCTCGCCTCTGTGCTCCCAGCTGGGAGTGGGGGGCAGCCGCCCAGGGCTTTTCACCTGTGGCAGGGAGATCCACACCCAGAGTCCAGTCGGCTGCTGTGTCCCCAGCAGGGAGTGGGGAGCTGGGAACCCGGGGAGGGGGACTCCTGCCATCATCTGCTCTGGCCTCCTGTATAGCCCAGGCATCTGCGGGGATGAGAGGCATCCTACAATTCCCTTTGGTCGGTTCCCCCGCTGGCGGCTGGGAAGAAGGCTTTAGGGTCAGTTTGCACCTGGAGTCCTGGAAGGCCTCACCTGACCTTTCTCCAGAGAGGAGAGAGCTTCAACCTCCCCAGCACAGCAGGGAGGGCCCCGGCCTCTGGGAGCTCTCCTGTACCCAAAGCCCTGGCAGGATGCTCAGAGGGGACGCCGGGGGGCCCGTACTGTGCAGGGCAGGGCTGGGCAGCAGAGCAGCGGCCAGGGAAGGGAGACAGCCGGGGAGCTGCTGTGATACGGGGGCGGCCAGTCCGGCCGGTGGGAGCAGCGCAGGGACAGCGGCGTTCAAACGCCTCGCCGGCTTCGCCTTCCTTCTCGCCTCTGCTCAGCCGCAGGCTCGCCTGGGGGGTCCCCCCCATCACCTGCAAAGCGGGGGCTCCCAAAATCGCTTTGAGATGGGGGGGGCCGCACAGCTCTTCTCCACCCCCCCCCCCGGTGCAAGGGCTGCCTCGGAAGGGGGCTCCCAGACCCGTGCCCGCTTAGCCCAGCCCCCCTGTCCCCAGGGCGCAGGACCCCCCCCCAGCCCGGCCGGGGCAGAGCCTTACCCACGAGGTGCCAGGATTTCCGCCGGCCGTAGCGCCCGCAGCCGGCCGAGCGGTCGGACTCGTAGCCCACCAGCGGCGTGCAGACCCCGTCGGCCACCTGGCCCACGAGCAGCAGGGTCCCCGCGTGGGTGCTGCTGTAACCCAGCACGGCGTGGAAATAGACCAGCAGGTAGGTGAACCACATGGAGGCGCACAGGTCGTTCAGGAAGTGCCCCAGGGAGTAGCTGAGCCGGGCCGGGCCGGAGAGCGGCGGCGGGGGCTCGGCCATGGCGGGGCTCCCGAGGCGGGGCTCCCCGCAGCGGCATCCAACGGCGGGAGCGGGGCGGGAGCGGGGGCCAGGGAGCCGGCTGGCGGCGGAGCGCCCGGCGCGGGGGTTTTACGGCCCGGCGCCCGCCCCGCTCCGCCGAGCCCCCCGCCTGCCAGCCGTGGAGCGCCCGGGGCCGAGCGGCCGGGGCAGGGCTCTGCCGGCGGCCGGGGCCAATCGGGAGGGCGGCGGGGCGGGGCCGGGCCAGGCTCGCCCCGCCCCGGGGCCGCGCCGAGCCGCGTGGATCGCTGGGGCTGCGGCCGGGAGCGGCGGCGGCGGGCTGCGGTTGCTTGCAGAGCGAGCGCCGCCTCGGCTCTCTCGGCCGCTGGCCCGCTCCGTGCCTCAGTTTCCCCACCTGTTGAAGGGGGGCAGCGACACTGAGCCGCTTGGGGAAGCGCTTTGAGGCGGAAAGAGCTGGGTGTTGTTAGCAGCGCGGCCCTGGCACCCGGCTCAGGAGCTCCCAGTGCTTTCCTGAGCCCCCCCCCCCCCTCCCCCGGCGCTCGGCGAGGGCGAGGTTACCCCTCTCACCAGGAGCCTGGCCTAGCTCGCTGCGCCGATTTGACAGGGGAAAGTAAAACCTGCAACTTGCTGGGTTGATGTTGTTTTGCTCAACACCCCAAATTGCTCCATCAAAACAGAGAACAGCTGCTCCCTGCGCACCCCGCAAAGCCAGGCCCCTGACAGACCCTGGGGTCACAGCGGGGCGTCTGACAGGCCCTAGAGGAAGCAGAGCGAGGTTGCGGTGGGGCCCAGATTTAGTTGTGGTGTTTCGCCAGTGGAATGGTTGGTACCTTGTCGTGTCAGCTGTGTCAGGCGTTACTCATCCCCCGGAGTCTGGGGTTGGGCCCAAAAATTGGCTGGATCCGGTGAGGTTTGGTAAGAGAACAACTGATGGTACAAATGCGGAAAGGAACTTGTGCGAGGAAGTGCTCAAAGCCAGCCAGTCAGCTAAGCAGCTGCCTTGCAATTAATCCATCAGTGAAGGAGTCTCTTACCGAAGAAGGGAGACTCTGGAGAGCTGAGGCAGAAGGGGAAGGAGTAAAAATCATGGGGGCCTTTGAAAGCAAGTGGTCCCAGTTCTCAGGGAATCCAATGGGCACGGTGGGTGCTCACTCCTCTTACCCTTGCGACCCAAACGGGGCCCTGGGAGTTGGTTCCATTAGGAGGAGAAATTGATGATAGAGCCAGATAGAGCCAAAATTGAAGGAATTTTGTTTACTTACAAAGATTAGACATGAAGGCCTATTTCATAGGGGGAGGGAGAGCTCAGTGGTTTGAGCACTGGCCTGCTAAACCCAGGGTTATGAGTTCAATCCTTGAGAGGAGCTGGGCCAGAAATTGGGGGTTGGTCCTGCTTTAAGCAGGGCGTTGGGGTCCCTTCCAACCCTGAGATTCTACGATTCCCTGAACACAGGGCTCACCCAGCAGCAGAAGATGGACCGCACTCGCTCTTCCAAGCCAGGTTTCAGAGTAGCAGCTGTGTTAGTCTGTATCTTGTTCCTAAGCCAGTTTTTCCAGCTAGCACTGTGCTCCAAAACCTTCCTCTCAGGACCATGTTACCAGCGCTTCTGTTAATGTCTGCCTGTCTTCCTGGACTGTCTGTGCCCCTCAGACAAAAACAGTCCCACCCCGCAGAGCCCGAGCCTCTGCATCTGAAACCCCTCAGCCCACGTGTTCATCTTAGACGCACAGATTCTGAGGCCAGAAGAGCCCACTGTGATCATCTGGTCTGACCTCCTCCCTTGAGCTGCTACTCAGGCATGTCTGTGTGGTGGCTATTTTAGTTGCTCCTGCTGTTCTTACAATCATACAATATCAGGGCTGGAAGGAACCTCAGGAAGTCAGCTAGTCCAACCCCCTGCTCAAAGCAGGACCAGTCCCCAATTTTTGCCCCCATCCCCTAAATGGCCCCCTCAAGGATTGAACTCACAACCCTGGGTTTAGCAGGCCAGTGTTCAAACCACTGAGCTCTCCCCCTCCCCCTCCTGTCCCCTTATACATTGATCCTGAATTAAAGATGGTGGCTACGTACCACCCACAATAGTGATTTGCAAACTGTGCTGTAAATGTCAAACTCTAACTGCTCCCGTCTCTCAAGCACTTATGGAAGCCGTTAACCTAATTGAAATCAATGTGACTAGTCCATGAGTCAAGTTACTCAAGTGACTGATGTCTGATCCTGCAAACACATGGATAATTTTAGGCCCTACCACAGTACCACATGTGAGCAGGGGGATCTCGATGGGAGTGTGTTTGTGCAATGAAAAAAATGTGGCACAACGGATCTAATTAAATGAGTTTTGTTTTGCACGATGACTCGCTTGTTATTCATCCAGAGCCAGAGGTATACAACAGAGAGAAAGGGCACAATCAAAGAGACAAAGGGTTTGATCCTGCCCTAATTCCTGTACATCCATGCGAAGCGAGTGCTAAACACCGAAGCAGGAATCCCTACGCTCACCAGCACTCGACACCCACTGACTCTGGTATAAATTACACAAGGTGCAAGGCAGGCAAGAATCAAGCCAGATGTGTCTTTTCCAAGAGAGTTACAATCTAAGGGCCCAGTCCTGGAAACACTACCAGGCATATGGGCCCAGATTCTCAAAGGTATTTAGGCTCCTAATTCCCTTATGCACCTAACTACTGCTGAGGGCCTGGGCCATGTTTACCACAGTGAGTAACTGTACTGCGTTCAATGAGCCAGCTGATGGGAGTGAGCTCTACACACCGATGTTTGCAGGATCAGGCCCGAAATAAATACATCCAAGATTTAATTTCATTTAAAAAATGTTAAGGACAGTTTTCAACCACGGGTGCCTACAGATGGAAAGGGCCACATAAGAGCAAGGTATTATTTGTATTATTAAAATCAGGTACTTAAGTCCATTGTTAGGCATCCAATGGCTTCTCTGTACTCGGGGTTTTGCACCAGTGCACACCCCTCGGGTAGATGCACCGGTGTCAAAAGTGAGACATCTAGGTGTGCAAATGCAGGCTTCACTTTTTAACATTTCCCTGCAGCAGCCGGGAACGTGCATGTCCCGGGATTGTTTGACTTAATTAGCCTTGGCCTAGCTGAGCCAAGTTACCTGATTCCAGAGGCACTGAGAGATTTCTGCGGATTTCACCATTCATTCAGTGTCATTCAGTTTCTAAGGAATGCGGCCAGCTCGGGTTCTTGCTGCTGCTCTGACCTTTGGATCCCCCTAACACTTTCGGGGCATGGGGCAAATCTCCCTAGGCTGGGAAGACTTTTCTGCGCTAGCCCAAGGTCATGTGAAGCCCTGCCCAGCAGGTGCAGAAGAAAGGAACACGGTGTTCTGTCGGTTCCTCACAGGGGCTTTGGAGGTCCCACGCTCTATAGGATGACAGCCCCAACCCGCTCTAATTGTCAAACTCCCCCTCCCGCCAGTGACGATGTGACGCAGCAGGGAGAGGGGAGTGTTGACTTGGGAATGTGCCCTGGGGATGGGAGGAAGGTCAATGGATACTGGGATACGGGCGTGGAGGTGTACCCTGGCCATGGGCATCTTAAATGGGGTCCTGCCCACCCCCATCAGGGTCAGGTAGGTGTTGGGCACCACCCGATCTGGGGCCACCACCTCAGGCCGGGCCAGCGTCACCTCCGCGCCCGTATCCCAGTATCCATTGACCTTCCTAGCACTCCTGGTCCCCGTCAATCCCCCTTCGTTTTACTGTTCCCCAGTCACTTACTGCAGGAAGCACCGTTCACAGGGTGCAGTACATCCCACCGCTGCCACCAGTTGTCACGGAGTGTGGGGGAGTCCAGGCCCTGCACCCCTCTTCCTGGGATTCACTAAGACTCTCAGCCAGCCAGTAAAACAGAAGGTTTATTGGACAACAGGAACACAGTCCAAATCAGAGGTTGTGGGTACAACCAGGACCCCTCAGTCAAGTCCTTCTGGGGGAGCAGGGAGCTTAGACCCCAGCCCTGGGGTTCCCTGCGTTCCTCCACCCAGCACCAAACTGAAACTAAACCCCCCCAGCAGGCTCCCTCCTGCAGCCCCTGTTCACATTCCTGGGCAGAGGTGTCACCTCCCCCTCCTGGCTCAGGTGACAGGCTCTCAGGTCTCCCATCCCCAGGGCACATTCCCAGGTCAACACTCCCCTCTCCCTGCTGCATCACATCGTCACATCTCTCCCCCCTTCGAGACTGAACTGAACGGGGTCACTGTAACCAGTGACCTGGAGAAGTTCGGGGCCCCCTCTCCGGGACAGCGCATCCGCTATTAGGTTGGCACTTCCCTTCACGTGGACCACGTCCATGTCGTAATCCTGCAGGAGCAGGCTCCATCTCAGGAGCTTGGCGTTGGCTCCTTTCATCTGGTGCAGCCAGGTCAGGGGAGAGGGGTCGGTGTACACGGTGAAGTGTCGCCAGAAGAGATAGGGCTCTAGTTTCTTGAGGGCCCACACCATGGCCAGGCACTCCTTCTCGATGGCCACGTAGTGTTGCTCCCGAGGTAGCAACTTCTTGCTCAGGTACACGATGGGGTGTCTCTCCCCCTTTTCATCCTCCTGCATTAACACCGCCCCCAGTCCCCTGTCTGAGGCATCGGTGAACACCACAAAGGGCTTGTCAAAGTCTGGGTTTGCCAGAACTGGGCCACTGACCAGAGCCTCCTTCAGCGCCCGGAAAGCCTCCTGGCACTGCTCGGTCCAGACCACCTTGTCTGGCTTCCCCTTCTTGCATAGCTCAGTGATGGGGGTGGCTATGGCGCTAAAGTGGGGCACAAATCTTCGGTAGTATCTTGCCATCCCAATAAAGGCGTGGACCTGCTTTTTGATGTGGGGAGCAGGCCAGTCTCTGATCACCTCCACCTTGGCTGGTTCCGGCTTTAGGCGGCCGCTCCCCACCCGATGGCCCAGGTAAGATACTTCAGCCATCCCCATCTTGCACTTCTCCGCTTTTACAGTCAGCCCAGCCCCCTGGAGTCGGTCCAGCACTTGTCTAACCTGGGACACGTGGTCCTCCCAGGTCTGGCTAAAGACACAGATGTCATCAATATATGCCACGGCAAAACTCTCCATCCCCCTCAGTAGCTGGTCCACCAGGTGCTGGAAGGTGGCCAGCGCTCCCTTGAGGCCGAAAGGCAGGGTCAGGAACTCACAGAGCCCCAGAGGGGTGATAAAGG